CTTTCTCTTCTGCTAACTCAAGAGGTGAGGAAGCAGATCTGCATGGCTGAATTGCATCTCTGTATTATCCCAGGCAGCTCCTGAATGCCGGAGCCTGCTCGGAACAGAAATGTCAGACACAGTGGGACTTAGTCTGTCACGCAGGTAGGTTACTCAGGCATGGAAATAAAATCTGGGCCCAGGAAGCAATACTTGATGGGAATGGAATGGGGCTCAGCCTGCAGCTAGAGCTGCAGCTCAGCCTGCCAGAGTGGCACAGCATTGATGGTAAGACATGGCACCCCCTTTCCTGATTATCTATTTTTTACTTTAACTCTGCTGCACTGGGTATTGTGATGGATTCACTTCGATGCTTTAAATTGAAGATGGAGAAAATAACTACTGAATTCACATCTAACATATTTTGAAAATATGCAAAATGAGTACATTTTTCATAATGCATAGAATTGTAGAACTATATAATGGTTTGGGACCTTAGAGATCATCCAGTTCCAACCATAGCCACAAGCAGGGTCACTTTCCCATAGACCAGGCTGATCAAAGCACCACCCAGCCTGGCTTTGGACACTTCCCAATAGACCAGGGATGGGGCAGCCACAGCTTCTGGGGACAACCTGTGCCAGCGCCTCACCACCCTCATAGTGAAGAATTTCTTCCTACTATCTAGTCTAAATCTAGACTCTGTCAGTTTGAAGTTATTCCCCCTTGTCCTGTCACTACGTGTCCTTGTAAAACGTCCTTCTCCAGCTTTCTTGTCACCCACTGTAGGTACTGAAAGGCTGCTGTAAGGTCTCCCCAGAGCCTTCTCTTCTCCAAGAAGCCCAACTCTCTCAGCTTGTCTTCATAGGAAAAGTGCTCCAGCTCCTGATCATCCTTGTGACCCTCCTCTGGCCTCACTCCAGCAGGTCCATGTCCTTGTGTTGGGAGGCCAGAACTGAACACAGATGAACTCCCTTGTAAGTGTGAAGAAATCACATTTGTATATTTGAATTTTGAAATGTAAACAGGTGCTCAGGCCTTTGGTGTTTCACTGCTATTTTTTTTTAATAATAAGAGAAAAGAAGAAAGGAATGCATCTGTCAAGCATGCAAGCACCTTTGGAACATGCTCCATACATCTGCAAGAAAAAGACCAGCAACTTCTCCCTGCCCTCAAGCCCAGAAGGGAAATACATTCTAGAGAGGGCTAATCTGAACAGTGCATACTGTGCTCCTATCCTCACACTTCTCTCTCTGACCAGAGAGAAGAAAAGGCAGTATGTGGGGTTTAAAGTTTAGCAAGAAGTCGCTATTACACAAACACTGTTTCACCCAGATGGATAGATGATAGATAGATTGATGGATTGATAGATAGATAAGGACAAGGAAACAGAAGGATACTTTGCCAAGGAGAGAGATAAAACTCAGGACCATCAGTACCAGCTCCTTCTCAATGGGCCTCCAGCTAGAGAAGTTCTGCAAAAACCTGCAGAAGTCGCTTCAGGAACTATACAGACAAATGTGATGCGCACTTTCTGAAAACAAGCAAGCCATAAACTTACTGGTTTGTATAAAGAACTACCTCTGCTTCTTCTTTGTTTGGCAGAACATCTCTGTGCATTATTTCAAGTCAAATATAATCTGACAACACTCCTCTGAACTGATTCTGTGCCTTTATGCTCCTTCTAATGGACTGTGACTAGCTACAGCTCTTACATGCAAGAGTTTCGGTAACAAAGATTGCCATGGACATCAGAGATTATGTAAGGATACAAAACTTCCCGATTAGACTTTCATATGGCTTCATACGTCAAGATGAGTCCAGCTTTAGGCAGGTGCTATATAGGCAAATGTTGGCTAAACACTGTAAGACAAACATCAGCAATATGAATCATCATCAGCCATTTTATAGACTACAGCACAGACAGATAAAATTGTTCCTAGACTATTACCTACTCCCACCCGAATGAATTACCGTGTACACCATTGATAACATCTTGCTAGACATCAAAGGCAAGATTGACTTCATACTGGTAAACACAGCAAGAGGAAAGAAAGTCTTGTAAGTCAAAAACTGAAGGTCGTTTGGAAGCCTGCCTCCTTTCCCTCTCATGCCAGCAGTGGCCCTCCCAAAAGATTTAATGGAAAACTATCATTTGATTTGGAAGTGTTCCCTTGCTCCCAGGTCTATCAGAACATCATTACAATGAAGGGAGCCATTGTCAGCTTCCTACAGCTCTCCTGAGTTGTGTTATCAGTCCATGCCCCCAGTGTCCAACCCTGTTGTCCACATGAGCTTTTGCGTACAAGGGTGAGCAACGCTGTGTCAGCTCTTTGGATTTTAGCTGTGTCCATTCTGCATGTGATTCAGAACAACAGTCAACCCACAGACATCATCTATATAACCACACAATCCTGTTTTTGTTACCCCTACTTTTTGTTTCCTCCCACCTTCCTTCCTATTGCTTGTGTCATTGGCTTATTGCACCTCAGCCACGAGTAGACTATAAATTCTTCAGCACTTCCTATCCTTCAGTGTCTTCTTGCCTAATGGGAACCACCAGAACACAAATAGTCCTTACAAAACAAACATAAACCTCAACAGCTGGGACAAATGAGATGCATACATGTAATTTCAGCCCCTAAGGTCTGTTTGGCCTAGAAACCCGTAATCACGTCAAGCAATTCCTCCTGTGCTTTCTGCTTTAGGTCAGAGATGAAGCTGAATCAAACTGTAGGGAAATGCAATAAATAAACGCAATCATTTCGTGCTCTGAAATTCTGGTGTGTTTACATTCAGTTTCCTGGTCAATTGACAGCTGGATAAAATTCAATAAAAAAAGAGAAGAAAAAGTCTCCTTGAAAGGAAAGCAATTCTTATATCCTTGTACCACAGTCTCCCACAGACTGAGGAAACTGCTGGTCGCAGCTTGTTTCATATCTTTAAATATGATATGTACAAAGAAAGGAGAAGAGATGAGATACTAAGATTGCATGCAGTGTCCTCCAGCACTGGCTTTGCAACACAGAAGTTTGAGTGCCAAATGAGACGACAGTGACCCCAGGAAACAGAGGTGTGTCTGTCTACCTGGTAGGTGAGATAGGAGCCTGTGACCAGAGCTCCAAGCACCCGCCCAACAGGCTGGGTTAGGGACATGTGTAGTGAGTTGTGCACACCCAGCATGAGCCGTTCTACCTATTTCAGCCTCTTGCTGAACACAGCGCAGCTCTGCTCCTCTGCTTGAGCTGCAACCTGCTTCCTGATGTGGGCTGTGTGGCCTTACACCTGTGTATGGGCATTATAAGACTGACGGCAGAGGACTTACTTACACCAGACATGTGCCCAAATGTATAACCCTGTCACCTACATAGTGCAGAGGAAATTGTGTGTCCCACATTAACTAATACAACACTAAAATAAAAGAATATTAAATAGTAGAAAACTAAAGTTTGATGAAATGCTGACCCAGACCTGGGCTCCTCAGTCACCATATGGATGCTTCTGTGCCTAAAACAACCCCTGCAAAGATCTCCCTGAGGCCAGGCTCAGTGAAGATGGTACTTTGACTGAATGCCGAGCTCTATCCGGACACCTCAAGGCACCTTAGGTACAACGCATGGCTCAGACTCCTGATGGGATGTGCATTTGTAAACGGGATGACAGCTGTGTTTGCAGCAGTGTCACAGCCAGAGATGCTTGGGAGCTATGATAACCCTAGCAGATGGATATGCAGTCTTTGCACCTCTATCTTCCCCAAAGGGTACTCTAATCACCAGGCCACGTATGGATTTTAGAGAAAGCTCACACGTATGTCAAAATAAACCTGGGCTCAAGGGTCAGCAGGATGAGGAACTCATTATCAAGCACATTGGAGCTTGCAGCAATCTGCAAATCTAATTGAACGTGCTCTGAAACAGGCCGTAGACGTTAAGAAAACACAGCTCCATAACAGCTCTTTGTCTAAATTTCAGCATGGGAATGAGGTATCAAAGCCAGTATGCCTTTGCCATGGATTTCTTTTCTTCTTTGCTCAACATTTTTTCTCTGCTCAGCGTACTTACCCAACCAGCTGCAAACCTCCCCAGAGTAGCAAACATAGTGATGAGTCAGTCTAACACAGTCTCCAGCTCTTTGCCTGGAAATCTGGCAGGCTCGCTGATGTTACAGCATCAAATCAGTTTCTGCTATCTTTCTTTGGCTTCCTTTAGCTTGTTGTTGCCAAGGCCTGATTTTGCTCTGATTTACACAGAAATTACTGCTCATAAATGATTTGCAATAGCGGAAATGACAGAGAAGGGTTGTAGTAAGAAGGCAAGGAAGCAAATCAAATAGAAAAGCCCAAATATGACCTGTGCTGATGGGTCAGCTTTAATACACAGAGGAGGTTTGCAAGGGCTGTGACCCATGGGCAGCTACAGCTGCAGGGCCGCTGGAGCTGACTTCTGTGCCAGCCCCAGCATGGCCACCCGGAGCTGCTCATCCAGCAGCTTCCTGACTGCTGTGGCTTAGAGAGAGCAGCCAGTAATCCCTCAGCAGGTCTCAGGCAGCTCATGTCCGAGGGTGGACAGCTGGGGTGGCAGCACTGTCAAAGCCACAGGCTCCTGCATCTTGGCCAGACCCCCTGTGGTGGGTTACCCAGAGCAGCCTCCGGCTCAGCTCCTCCTGCCAGCAGGCCAAGGAAGCAAGGCAAAGGTCCCAGTTTGCCATGGAAATCAGGAGTCCAGGGAGAGCAGGGTTTACACCAGGAGCTTCTCTGCACATAGGTGTCTGCTACAGGCAGAAATAAAACCTGCTGTAAATTGACCTCCAGCAGCACTGTCTTGAGGAGCACTGGCCATGGACTGTTGAAGGAGATTGAGGCACATATGTCATGTATATGCCAAAATAAACGTGTGCTTAAGGGTCAACAAGATGAGAAAACTCATCGAGAGAGGATGTTTTTATATATTTTATTATAATTATTATAATTGTTATACATTATATTTTATACAATATAATGCAATTACTATATTTTTTGCTTCATGGCTTTCATTAACATATGTTCCAGAACAGCACCAGTGATCTCCTTTACCATCATCATATTTTAAAGGGAAGACTTTTTCCCCAGCAGTGTGCAATGTACATGCATATTGGAGCTTGCAGAAATCTGCAGATTTAACTGAACATGGTCTGGATGCACCAAGTCCTGCGTGTGCCCAGAATCATGAGCAAAGGAGGTGAGGGGACAGGGAGGGACAGACAGTGAATGAGGGGGGCAACAGCCACCTATCTGGCTGTGATGAAGGGCCCTCAGTGGGACATTGTGCAACTTTCTGTCCTTCTGCTCTTAGTGGGATGAGAAGACCCCTGAAGGTGAGATTCTAAACTTAAATTAGGTCAAATACAAGATGTCTGCAGCTTTCACAGTGAAAGCATCTATGGTCCAAAGAGACCTTGCACTGGCTTTCAGCACAGGTGAACTTAGGAGCTTTAAGAAAGAAAACCTTTCAATAGAGGTAAATGCACTTATAAAATATTCCCCATTTTCTCATATTTTTTCTGACTGAGCCCACAAAGTCCGACACTTGCTTTGGTGGAAGTAGAGCTGTGCATTGCTCTTTCACTGCCCATCCCAGCACTGATGATGCCAACCTGCCTGTAACGTCACAGTTCTGCACATGCCAGCTGAGCAGGGCCGCTGATGTCATATTATATATTAAATCATGTGTTTAACATTTATAGGTCATTTTGTCCTCATCTGCTTTATAATTCTGTTGTGCATCATAAATGCAAAATGAGTTTCATTTCTTCTCCCTACGCCTTTGGTTTATTGCATTTACATAAAGCTGTAGAAAATTTATGAGGATTTTTATAACTTTATTAAATGAATTTCTTCAACCACCAAGGAAATGACATTTCCACAGCAATGCCGTTATTTCCCAAACCCTATTTTCTGGTATCTTTGGCCTCACTGAAGTGGCACATTTTTCATTAAACTTAGCAGTACATAAAGTCATTAAGGTGACAATAGTATGCCATTATAGCTGTTGTAGCAATGCTAGAAGTGACTTCACCCTTGGGTCATCTGAAGCAATTATTAAGTAACGTGTCAAGAGATATTGAATGACTTAGAAAACTTAGAATTGCCTTGCTGTAAGTACTTCTTCTATGCAGACAGCACAGACAGCTGACCTTTGTATCTCAAGTCATCTGGAAAAAGACAGCGAGCTACCTAATGCTGCAACCGACACAGCCAAATATATTAAGACATCCTTTCCTTCCTCTAGTATTCTTTGCAAAACAAATCTTTTTTTACTCCCAGCAAAAAGTTTTCATTCTGATTTTCATCTGCTTTAGTGATTAAACTTGCCTGCTAACCCAGAGGGCTCTGCTGGTCTTCCTGTGTGTCACAACCTGTCATCAGTCACAGTTGCTCTCATCCAGCAGAGGAAAACTGGATGCAGAAGCAACAAATAACATTAAAAAGTGGGAAGCAGCCTGCTAACAATATAAAGCCTGCTTGTTTCCTTCCCTCTACAGCATTTAAAACTTACTGGATGATTAGAATCATAGAATAGCTAGTGTTGGAAAGGACCTTAAGATCATCTAGTTCCAACCTCCCTGCCATGGACAGGGACACCTCACACTAAACCGTCTCACCCAAGGCTTTGTCCAACCTGGCCTTGAACACCACCAGGGATGGAGCATTCACAACCTCCCTGGGCAGCCCATTCCAGTGCCTCACCACCCTCACAATAAGGAACTTCTTCCTTATATCCAACCTACACTTCCCCTGTTTAAGTTTTAACCCGTTACCCCATGTCCTATCACTACAGTCCCTAATGAAAAGTCCCTCACCACCATCCTTATAGGCCTCTTCAGATACTGGAAGATTCAAAACCTGCTGAAGAGATGAAAGTCTTATCCCTGAACCAGTGACCTGTGAAGCTTGGTATTTTTCTGACAAAGGTCAAAAAAACCCACTTTGTGAGTGAGGGAGGAAGATTTTTCACCTCCCGAAGTCTCTGAACAAGCCTGAAGCCATACAGAGCTGCTGGTATCTCTTAATACTTCTTAATACTGCAACTGGCCATGTAAGTTACAGGCCAAAATTTCTAGCAATGTGCCTCAAGGCAAACATTTCACCTTGGCTTAAAAAGATGGCAATTTTTTACCATATTGGGAAAACACAATTTTACAGCCACTTGGTACAAGTAGTTCAAGCACAACAAACACAGGGCAGCCCAGCACCACCAATGCTATAAAATTTGCATAAATAAGCCTGTAGTTTTGGTAACAATAAACTTTTTTAAACCATTACAGTCAACACAACAGGATTTCCAGGGTCCAGTCTTAAAATGTACAAGTTCATGTCCTGGGTTCAGCAGTAGCAGTCATTTTTCTCCTTCTTGGTAGCTGGTGCAGTGCAGTGTTTTGACTTTCAGCCTGGGAACAGAGCTGATAACAATGATGTTTTGGTTTGGCCAAGGACTTTGTGAGCCTCGTGCTCTGCCAGGGAGGAGGGGAAGCTGGGAGGGGAAGCTTGGGACAGGACACCTGACCCAAACTGACCAAAGAGGTATTCCATACCACAGCACGTCATGCCCAGGATGTAACTGGGAGTTAGCCAGAAGGGCCGGGACTGCTGGGTTGGAGGAGTTATCGGTCAGAGCTTGGTTGGGCTGAGGGGGTGAGTTATCAGTCAGCTGGTGGTGAGATGTCGTATTCTCTTCCCTTGTCATTTCCTTTATCATTGTTATTATTGGTGGTAGCAGTAGTGATTTGTGTTATACCTTAGTTACTAAACTGTTCTTATCTCAGCCTGTGAGAGTTGCATTCTTTTTGATTCTCCTCTCTGTCCCTCTGGGAGTAGGGAGAGGGAAAGAAGGGGAAGAGTGAGTGAACGAGTTGTCTTGCTGGGGTTTAACCGTGACAGTTAATTACAGAGATTTTTTAACAGTACCATTCCTGATTCACTTATTATTTCTTAGATTCTGGGATTGCTGATGTACTCCATTTTTGGATATCACTTACATGGTAAGAAGTCCTGAGCACTTCACTGAGACAAATACAAAACAACTGAGTCTGTAAACTCACAGGACAGAAATTGTGCATGCTGTACAATCAGGGAGTTAGGTGGGATCTTAGAGTTCATCACTTTAGGTAGGGCCAATGGCAGCCTTCCTTATCCAATTATACAGACTTCAAACAAATGCCCTCAGATCCTTACCAGTCTGTAACAGCAAGGGTAGAAATCTTTTATTCTGAAAGAGAAGGGGGTGGTACTACCTCCAGCTGAAATTCAGTGGAAAAATGCAGCCAAACGGTTTGGCCATTCCCAAAGCCTGCTCTCCCCTTGCCTGCTTGTGTTACTGTTTCCAGAAATGGTTTGTTTGAACAGCTGCATCATCTCCCTGCTGTGCTGCATGGACTCGAACTATGACTGGCGATAGAGAGGGGAGGCAATAACCTTGGGTTTTAGGGGCTAAAGCTGTGAAAACACATTCGAGTTTGGCCACACTGTGAACCTTATAGGTGATTTAAGTGTGTGTGAGTGGGGGAATAGGGAAAAAATATGTGGTTCAGCACCATTACACCTATGCCAGCTAAATCACTCAATCCTCTCTCCACCGACTCTGAACTAAACAGGGCAATTTGCTGTTATTACATCTGCCACTGTTGACCTTGCTGCATCAGGCTAGCATAGCTGCATGTAGGCATGCACTCAGATGTGGGAGAGGAGGGGCTGCAGAGGGAAACAGCCATCTGAATGCAAAGCATCTGGAGAAAGAGAGAGAAAAAGTCATATTTTGCCTATTGCCTCGCATCTGCTTGGCCAGAGAGAAGAAAGCTGAGGGAAGGAGGCACTTGCCAGGTGATGGCAGCAGTAAAATATCCACAGTTACCTGCCACTACTGGCAGCACAACAAAACAAAATGTGTCCTGTGAAGATGTGCACCCAGCCATAGAGGTGCATCCAGCCACGGAAACCTGCTCCAGAGCCGCAGTGAAGGTGGGGCACGGTGAGTCATGCAAGAAGAGTCAAATACAACCTTCCCTCTGTCCATTCTCTGGGTGCTGGGAGCTTTATGGACAGGTAGAGTCACCTCCTGCACCGCACAGGTGTTGTCTCACACTGTTGTTGCAAGTCAACAGAGCTGATTTCATCTTTGCCTCTGTTCCCCCATCACTCAGTACTGCCTTTAGGCTGAAGGAAGCCATGTGCTGCTGCCACCCGGAGATGGGGTGCTGTGTTTTGTGACTGTGGTGAGTCATGGATCTGCATGGCTGCTTTGCGCAATCAGAGACTTGGGTTTCATGTTTATGCGTTTTAACAGGGACCAGACACAGCATTCACGGTTCAGGAACGGCAGTCCTCAAGTGTCTGGTGACATACCTGCTGTGACTAGTGCAAGAGCTGTCTTTTCCTGGAACTAAAAAGAGGAGACTGGAAAGGGCTGTGTGTTTCTCAGGATGAAACAGATTTCCTCATTTCTCCCTTTTGCTCTCCTCTAATCCATGAAGTGCCAACATGCCTGGGGTTGCTCTAGGTGGCTTCATGCACAAGAGTAGAATGTGTTGGTGTGGATGGCTTCTCGAAGGGTGCTGTCAGACCATGGGTGAATGTGGTACCTGATGGTGATATAGTTAACAGCCCTAGGCTGTTCCAGAGGGCAGACAAAGAAGCAGACTCACAACTGTGAACCAGTGGATCTCACTTAAACTGGTTTTCTGGCTTTCTTTTTAACTGTAATTTTACAGCCAGGAAAAATTTCACTCAAAGCATTGAAAAATTCAAATTTGTGAAGATGGGAGTTGGTAATGTGGTTGGCACTATAAATGTAATGTAGATATTTCAGGTCCATGCTTAAAAAAGAAACTGTGGTTCTCTTTCTCTCCTATGAGACATCTTCTCATTTTCTTCTTCCCCTTCCACTGAAGCTCTTGCCCTTGTTGCCTCATAGTGTGACTGTGCTGTTCTTCAGGTTATTTTATCTCATGCATGCAATGCTATATGTGTGCATGTCTATATATACTGTTTATGCATCTATATATAGCACATGGCTATATGCATACTTATCTATAGATAGAGGAGGCAAGCGCACAGACTTGCCTTCTACTCAACTATCAATGTTTATGGTGATTCCTGTGCTGCTGCTTTAGACATCTAATACATCCTTCACATAAGCTGGGTTGCCATTATAACAGCTCCCTTCAGCTAGCGCTTGTATTTTTTGTCAGAAGCTTCACATGTTTTAGTGACTATCCTGAAGACTCAGCTTTAGACACCAGAGTTTACAGGAGAAAATTTCCTTTCCTCTTTCCTTTCCCCTTTCCTTTGCATTTTCCTAACCCTTTCTAAAGTAAGCTTCAAAACTTTTGGCTACAAAATCATGGACTATACAGAAGACCTCAAATACCAGAAAGCAATTAGAGTTCTTATTATCTTGTAAGATCTCATGGGCTTGAATCACCCAATTCAGCATTTTTCAATGCTTCAGATGAGCAAAAATAGAAGTGTGTTATTTTCTTGGCAGTTCTCAGTTTGGAGAGCCTTGTTTACTATCTATCAGTTACTTGGTAATTTTTCTCTGTTCTTCATTAGCAACAATAAAGGTTCATTATGCTGCCTGTTTGGCTAGGCTGGTTTAACTCCTTTCTTTGGGCCATTACTTTTACGGGTAACAACTTGTCTGTCTTTGTATATTTTTTAATTCAAGCTTCTTATTTAGTATATCATTCTTGGTGTGAGCAGTTTTGAAAGTTTTTAATTAATCTAAGAGCCTCTCTGACACCATTTACCTCTCCTCAGATCTTTTGCCTTACATATTTACTGCCTTTACCAATTTTTTGTGCATATTTTAAGTGGAAATACATAGACTTTTCCACAGGCATCAGACTCTTTTTTGTTTGTTTTTAAACATGCGCATTCTTTCAGAGAAGAGTCACATATAAGAGCAAGACTTATTCTGATTGAGTGTCATTGTGTAATCTATCGCTTATTGCTGAGATCAGTCCAGCTAATTTATAGTTTCTTGTTTTCAGTCTGAAAGAAAACAAGATCTTTCCCCATGAATCTTACCAGGAGTCTCTAAAATGCACTATTTATTGCTTTTAAATTTCTGGTTAAGTAAAATTCAGTCATCTCTGAAGCAATTGCAAATGGAGAACGTTCCTGAGGACAGTTAAGAGTCAGCTATGCCTTTTCG